AACCTCAGTTTGCAGAAAAATTGTTTTTAGATGGTGTGGGTTTAAGCAGAGCAAGCTGTAGGTGATTCTTGCTGGGTGTGTTCAGTAAGGGTTTATTTTTTTTGTAGTGACTGCAAGGAAAAGAAGTAACAGGCTCTAATTCCTATTGTAACTCTTTAATTTCTTTTTATATGATGTGTAGCAGAAAATGAAATCTTACAACTCCCTGCAGGGCTGGCATTGAAATCTTTATCTTGGAATTTAAAGAAAAGGCACTCTTGTAATGATGTGTAGCACACTCAAATTTTTATGCTTTTTGATGTTAAGGTTGCTCAGTGGAAGAAAGAAGGAAGGAATTGATAAATGTAGCTTAACCAGTGTTATTTACCACTTGGCCTCTTTTGAAAAGACAATTTTTTGTCTGTTTATTTTTCCTAAAATGACTCAAGTGGTCTTTCCTTTTTAACCATCCTCTTCTCCCTTTTCTTCTGCTCCCTCCAGAAAAATCATTTTTACGCTGTGCTTTTTGTATTCATCTGGCCAACCAGCATCTCAGTCATTGCCATAGACGTTGATTATAGCTTTTCATATGACTATTGCCAATACATAGCCCAAATATCTTATTAAAAGCATGATGCTGCAAGTGCTGCTTGGATTCTTTCAGTGAACTGTGACCCAAAATAATTGTCTCAAACTAAAGCTGAACTTCTGAGTTATCAGATGATTAAAAACAAAAAATAAAAAAAACATTGAGTTATGCTGTAGAACACTGAAAATATTAGAAAATTAGTTTGGAGCCCTTTGTGGATGCTGGAAATTTCTCCAATGTAGAATGTGCATTAAAAAAGTAAAGAAATGAACATCTAGAGTGTGTTTTAAGAATGTTCCATTATGAAAGAAGGAATTTTATGACCTAGGTCAAAGCTTTTGGGACAGATTGTTTCCTTATGAGCATTTTTAAACAATGGTTATGTTATTAAGACTCTTGGCAAAAAGTCAGATTAAGGGGAGGGAGGAGGATAGGCACTTGAAGGAAGTGTTTTCTATGTGATCTAGTCAGAAGCTTGCAAGCCCATTTTGGAGGATGTACTAAAATAAAATGGGAATTCCCCATTAAAAATACAGGATATAAAAATCTCAAAGACTTACTGGGGGCAGTTTTACTGTTATTTCCCAAATACAACCAATTTAATTCAGTTTAATTGACTAAACCAAGATTCTGGATATGGGAACAAAATTGAAGCCTGAGAGAAGATGAGTAGTCTATTAAATCAGCTTTATTAATAGCTTTTTCTTTAACTTAATATTGGAATTTAAGAAATTAATTAACCTTTTTAATCTTTTTCTTTTTTTTTTTTGTAAAGTAACATGCTTAGTAATCTGTCCCTTGGTCATATACCATTACCCTGGAGGAGGGTAGATTTAGATTAGATGTTAGGAGGAAATTCTTCACTGTGAGGGTGGTGAGGCACTGGAACAGGTTGCCCAGAGAATCTGTGGATGCCCCATCCCTGGAAGTGTTCAAGGCCAGGTTGGATGGGGCTTTGGGCAACCTGGTCTAGTGGAGGGTGTCCCTGCCCATGGCAGGGGGGTTAGAGCTAGATGGTCTTTGAGGTCCCTTCCAAGCCAAACCAGTTTATGAATCTATACACATAAAGACTGAGACATTTTTCTTAATGGAAAAGCTTTGTGAAATCCACTATTGTAAAGCAGAGCTGATAACAACCCTTAATACTCTTAGGGCATTATACCAATAGAAGATGTTTTGGTATTTGAGGGAACTTTGTATGCCTAGGCAGTGGGAGGTCACAGATGCTTACAACCATGGTATAAGCAATGTATATATGCAAAATTACATACAGGCAGTCATTTGCTAGATGAAACAACATTTAGAAAATGCTTGCTAGTACTTCAATATTGCATTATTTTCAGACAATAATTTGGAATTAAATTTATGGCATCAGCTTTTTTTTTATAAGGATCAAGGTTGTGTCCCCTGTTGGTGTTACGACTTGGAATGCTGCTGAGCAGTCGTCTTGCTGAGCTACAAGGTGTGTGGGAGTGTTAATATTCTCCTTTAGTTACCTTGTACACTTATCCCTACATGTGAGGACAAAATATGCGGCTGCCTTACCACCTCGAGGCAGATCTTAAGCAGGTGCTACCGGTTTAGTGTTCTAGGAATTCTTGAGCCCAGTGGCTGCTTTTAAGAGGTACGAGTGAAAACAGGCCAAGGAGGAGGCAGGGTGTTGTGCTTTACTTGTGAAGCAGGGAGGTGGTTCTGCTTGATTTCTGCTAGTGTCTAAGGAAGCCAGTGAACTGTGGAGCCGCAAAGGGCGCATACAGCTTTATGATGCTCCACAGGTGGCTGCTGGGGTTGTGGGAAGAAAATCAGATCAGTTATGTGGGCAATGCAGGGAGGTATGGATATAACCTTCATCTGTCCTGGTTTCTTCCAATGTTAAAACCTTCCTTAGATCAAATTTTATTCCTGTACTTTATGTATAAAGATGTCTTTATCTAAACTGATAGTTATTTTAATGGCTGATGAGTCACCTTCAAATGTAAATGTGGATAGTTGTCCAAGAGTGCTGGTTGCGTAGTAGGAGCACAGAGGAGAATGCTGTGTGTGTGAACTAATCACAAAAATTGACTTAATTGTTGTATTGTGGAATATTATTTCAGAGGAAATTAGAATAATTGTTTCAAATTTCTGCTTTTTTGTAGTGGACTGGATATAGTACAGCTAGGTATACTGTAGTGAATAAGATCTCTTGGGTAGAAAGAAACTGGGTATAGGACTTCTGTGATTATTATTATCATGCATTAAAAATACCATAAATCAGCATGTGCCTAATACTGCAGACACATTTGTGGACAGGTCATGTTAAAGCTATTTCACTAAGAATAGTTTGTCTGGGTTTAAGTTAAAAATTCTTCATTACTTTAATAATATATGAATCAGGGTTAAATGTATAATTGGCTTTTCATTTGGGACACAATAGTGAAGTGTTTGAGCTCTTGGATACAGATGCTTTGCTACAGAGGAACTAAACTAGCCAGTGTTTTCAGATGTTTTAATGGGTGTTTATTCTCAATACTGTTATAAAACAGAATTAAAGTGAGACATGACAGAGCCAAATATTATTTACAAAATTTTCTTCAAGTCTGAAGTTTCTGACAGTTTTCTTCTTCCTCAAACACCTCTCCCTTGACAGTTCCTAACTGAAAGCAAGCACTTATCTTCATTTTCAGAATTTATCCTACCCTCCCTGCTGTTTACAATGACCTGCCCAGGACTCTTAAAAATATGACTCCCCACATATACCTTTTCCTTCATACTCCTTGTTCTTAGAGTCTCGCTCTTTAGTTGCTCTAACCTCTTGTCCCCCCACAATCCTGACTTCTTACCCACAGTATCATTAGCTGCTATAGCCTGCTGAGCCTGGCACTTCATTGGCCTTCCTGCTAAAGTTGTTAGAATGAATCATTAAGTACATAATTTTGTTTAAGTACAATTTGTAGATGAATGTAGTAGAAACAAAGACAAATGTTGCTACAGGAATTAACTAGACATAACATAACTGTGAGCTGGTCATTTAGAATTGATTTTAATGTGAAATCTGTTTATGTGAAATGTAACCTTCCTGATTTTTCTGTTAGTTTCAGAAAATTTTTTTAGGTTTCTCATGTTAACTTGGTCCTGGAGCTGAAAATTCAAAGAATGTTGGAATAATGCAGAACACTGATAATCTTTTCTCAAACCTTTCATTGAAAGACTGATTTAGAAGCTTGTCAATCTGTTAAGTGGCCTTCGCAGAGAACATGAAAACTTTCTCTAATAAGATTAAAGATGCTTTCTCTGATTTCTTGGATATTCTACCCTCCAGCTTACCCATAAAAGCAGCAAGGGAAAGGGCAAGAAAACTGCCTGTAATTCTTAGTTTTTATTCTGAGTTTTGAGTACATCTAGACTGCCTGTTTGTCTTGAAAATGTTTATCATTGCTTTCATATAAGAAGTGAGGCAATTTTGGAAACATGCCATTTTGTCTTGTGACTGCATCTTTTATAGAACTAATAATTATATAAGGAAGCTGTATCCTGTCTTGTACAATACTTTGCAGTATAGTAGTGGGGAAAGTATTTCTTACTGAGCTGTAAGATTTGAATTAGCTTACTTTTATCCAAAACCTAAAAAAAGTTAAAATACGAAGTTTCTACACATGCTGATATGTGCTTACTAAAACCAAGTATCTTTGTTCCTGCTAAACAGTCCTTATTAATAAACAATATTCCACCAGAAGATGGAAATAATTGGAAATAATTATTTGATGTTTTTTGTTTAATAAATGTGGATTGTAGTAGGAAATTTATACGGGTTTATAGAGAACAAGAAAGATTACTGTTCCAGGAGTTTGATACCGATGCTCAGCGACTGAGTCAAGGATTGCAGAAACTCTAAAACACTGTGTAGG